TTTAGCCAGGTGTGGTAGCACACACTTTAATCCTAGCACTCAGGAGGCAGAGGCAGGTAGAGCTCTATGCAATTGAGGCCAGTCTGGTCTACATAGCGAGTTCTAGGCCAGTTGAGACTGCATAGTAAGACCCTGTCTCCAAAGGGAAAAAAAATTTTTTTTTAAACAAAACAGAAAAACTCTGACAGCAATTTACTTTCTCAGGAAATTGACAAGTTGGACTTACCATCTACTCCAAATACAGGGGCAGAGAGTCAGGATGTGCTACTAAGAACAAATCAATAGTTAGGTCCAATTTGAAAAAGAACCTGGAGAAGAATAAAGAGGAGGAGAAACTGAGCAGGAAGCATGGACCATCGCAGGTTTTTAGGCCAAGCTTTGTATATCCCTGCTAGAGGTCAGTCAGTGTCTGGAAGACAGATGCCTCCCTGGCCAACTGCTGAAGTTAACAGTGTTGATACCATTTTGGCCAGGAGGGGGCCCCAAATTTCACTTGAATTTGCACATCTCTAGGTAATGGTTTGATGAGACCTCATTCTATAGGATAGCTATCCACCATCATACAGTACATTGGGAAGGGGACAAGGAAGATCAGCAGAGCCCTCCAAGGTCATAAGGCCGGCTTGTGGTAGAGCCAGGACTGGAGTCCGGCTTGTATAATTCTTCTTCTCAGACTGTTCTCCAGCTTCTCATAGTGTCGGCAGCAGTAATATCTGCAGCTGTTATAATCTCAATAATTCAAAAAGACAACCATTTACAGAGTGCCTAACACATGTACAACCCTACTCTGGGTGGAGTTGTGGCAGATGGCAGGTAGCAAATGACAGAAATGCTTTGGTTGAGGGTAGGAAGAAAAAAGGTGGCATCACAGTCCAAGCTTGTGCTTTTTAAACTCCTCGTGGCTTCTTATCAGCTTAGAAGGTTCAGCCTGAGCACAAGGAAAACTAAATGGCAGAAGAAGATGTAAATGAGGTTCAATACGATAGAGGTTGAGTGATCAGAGTGCAATATATTGTTAGTGACCAAATGAATGATTAGTAATTGCCATAACATTTCTAAGGAAGAAACAGGGATCATACCATGCCTTTGCTTAGGGCTTAGCAGTTTCCAGTGCTTTCCTGTATGTTGTCATCTTCTGGGGTAGCCTGAAGACCCTTCCTGGGGGAGGAAATGGGTGGACTCTGCATATGAGGAGCTGATGTGACTTGCATGGACATGGAGGCCCATGGAGCATGCACAGCCCCTGTCCTGGAGGTATGTCCAGTCTTCTTTGCTGGGGAATCCAGGCAATTTTTGATGCTTATATGAATGGAGAATTGGGACCAAAGGAATTCAGTGTTCAAAGACAGGCAATATTCTGGATCTTCAGGTGTTAAGACGTGTTAAGTATGTTCCTTAGAGGAACGCCTCTTGCCTGTGAATAAGCATCTAACTAAATATAATGGAAAGAGAGACAGCTGGTCTGGGACTAGCTAGCTCTTAGCATTAGGCAACTTGATTAGTTTCTCGTAGGCTCAATTTGCCTCTCTAAAATTAGATGAATGGTTCCTTCCAGCTGGAAAATTTTTTGATTCTAAACAGAATCAAATCATGCAATTTTCTATTTTTGAAAAACCAGATGTTCAGGTATCAGTTTTGCATCTGTATTTTGGGTGCACTTTCCCTTATTTATCCTAATTTTTTTAAAAAAGATTTAACCAGGTATGGTGGTACACGCCTTTAATTCAAGCACTTGAGAGGCAGTGGCAGGCAGATCTCTGTGAGATCAAGGCCAGCTGGAGCTAAAACCCCCACAACCTGTCTCAAGCCTCCCTCTCAAAAATATTTACCTATTTGTATATGTGTGCCTGCATGTATGTATGTGCACCACATGCATACCTGGTGTCCATGGAGGCCAGAAGAGAGTATTGAATCCCCTGCAACTGGAGTTGTGGATGGTTATTAGCCACCACATGGATGCTAGGAACCAAACCTGGGTCATCTGCAACAGCAGCAAGTGATCTTTCTAAGAAATTTATTTATTTATTTGTTTATTTATTTATTTATTTATTTATTGAATATGTGTGAATGTTTTGCCTGCATGTATGTAAATGCACCTGTATATGCAATGCCCATGGAGGCCAGAAGAGGGCATTGGAGCCCCTGGAACTAGAATTATAGATGGTTATTAGCCACCATGTGGGTACTGAGAACTGATCCCAGGAAGAGTAGCCAGTGCTCTTAACCTCTGAGCCATCTCTCCGAACTCCTAAACAACTTCTTTTTTCAGTTTCGCACTTGTTCCTTCTCATTTGAACTCACATGGTAGCCTTGGGCTGGATTCATCCCCAACCCCCAAGTTCACAGGTGGAGGTAACAAAATAGGGGCTTTTCTCATTTCTAGCACTGTCCTTGAGCTGATGTTTCCAACACAGATCAGCTCATGCATCTTTTATTATACATCAGGCATGGGTCCTGTCTTCAAGTCAATTTCTTCCAGTTTCCATCATTTTGGGGGGGAATGCTGGATATACAGGGGGCTCTCAGTAAACACATGGTAAGCAGAAAAGAATTCTGGAGGCACTGGTGTGAAAGAAGGTCAATGTGTAGCCAGGGAAGGGATAGCCTGCACTACACCATTTCATACATAAAGACCATTTCTCTGTAAATAACCTCTGTCCATCTTGGTATCACAGTGTTGGGTTGAGTGTGATGGTCAGTTGTTTTCTCCAATTAAGATAATTCAGAAGCAAAAGGAGAATGAATGTATGCTCAGGTTGGGCCACAGACCTCAATTTGCGAGATGTCAGTTTGTTCGGTCTTTCTTAGACAGACAAAGGTCAACACCAGGCAGGTGAACACTGAGTCACTAGGAGAGGAGAGCAGGCATTGTGTGAACCCTCTCTCCCAAGGCTTCTTGTGCTTGATATGATGGTCAATGCAGACTAGACCCAGGAGGACCAGAGTTGGTAGGAAAATACTGGTGCTGTTTTGGCTGAGCCAACTGCTCTGATTCCCAATGGGCCCAGGGCAAGCTAAACCCACTCTTCCCTTTCCCTGCAATGGTCAAATACCTCCCCTCACCAGGGGCTTATCAGGCTTAATTAGCACATCCAGAAGCTTGGCCTGCCACAAAGGAAGACTGATGACTGCCACTGTGAATGAGCCTGATCTGAACTCACAGGCTGCCTTGACACAGTATCAGAGATTTGGGGCTGGGCTAGCGCTCTCCCACCTTCCATAGTTCAGGGTTGAGCTTGTACTGTGGGTCAACCTCCCACCCATTTGAAGAATAAGCTTTGTTCAGGAGGACAGATCCTCAGCCCCAACATTCCCCATCAACCAAACATCAGTGCCAGAGCACCTTCATATAGGACTTCCACCAGCATCCATAGGGGTTTCCGCCATTGTCTCTGAGATAAAGCGGTCTTGGGCCTGGTGTCAAGGTCAGGCCCTGCACCCATCTGTCTTTGTAGGGTGTGTGTGTGTGTGTGTGTGTGTGTGTGTGCTTGTGCTTGTGTCAGGGTATGTGCGTATGTGTTGCATGAGCACTTGCGTGTGCCTGTACACACACAGGTTAGAGGAGGTTATCTGGTGTCCACCCACTCCACCTAGCTCTCTTGAGACAGGATCTCTCACTAAACCTGGAATTTACTGCTTTTCCGCTAGGTCAGCAAGCTCCAGCAATCCTCCTGTGTTGGGTTCACAGGCTCCTGGCTTTGCTGGGCTTTTAATAGGGATGCTGAGGATCTGAAATCAGGTCCTCATGCTAGCTCAGCCAGTGCACTTATGTGCTGTGGGTAGGTATCTTCATGCCCCTTCTCAAGCTGACATGTGGTGGGGGTATTCTATGCCAAGCAAATGCAGAAGAGATTGGTTTAGGGCTTCTGACAATGCAAAACAAAATAATAAAGTCACAAAATTCTTTGCGCCCATTTCAGATGTTTCCCATTGGTCCCCAGGCACAAAGTGTTATTGTGATTGTGAAACAATTGGATTCATTGTGAAAACACCTCCTCCTTTAAATATTTGAAAGTAGAATGGAAAAAAAATGATGAAATCAATGGGAAAGGGGAAGCTAAACTGAATTAAATAGAATTGTGCTCCAAGTCCAGGGATGGACAAGTGACTTTGAAAGTTGGCTTTCCAGATCAGAGAGAGGGATGGTGAGGAAAGCAGAGTCTGGAGCTAATGAAGAGCTGGGCCCCAACCCAGTGGATTTTTCCCACCATTGTGTGCTCCCTTCCCAGTTGCCAGCCTTGGGAGGGTCCCCAGGGAGCCTGGACTTGAGGCTAAAGTTGTGCTATGCTGAGTGTGTAACCTTGTCATTGGGGAATTATGTCGCAGGTTTGTTACACAGGCCCAGATCGATGGAGGACTCAGGCAGCAGCAGATCAATAGATCCTATTTCCGGGGAGAATTTGCCCGTTGTGATCTGCGAGGGGCAGGTGGTTCTTCAAAAGAAGCCTGGCTCGAAGGATTTAATGCCGGTCCCTTCCCCATTCCAGTCTCCTCCAGGGGCTCTAGGCAGTAACAGGCGGGTAATAAAACTACTTTTCATTAAAGAGATCCGGGGCATGGCAGTGGTACGAGGGACATAAAGGTGGCGACCAGAAGGCACAGATCCTGTTGGAGACTGAAAGCCTGGATGGGGGCGCGCTGGGCTCGCTTTCCCTGGACCTTCTTCTGCGGAAACCACCCTGCGTTTGGGTGCCCGGCCGACCAGCCCTGCGCCGCGCCAGGCCGCGGGCCGCGCTCCGGGCTGGTTGGAGGGGGCGGGGGCGCAGGCCCTCCCCTGCCCTCGGCGCCGCAGCCCCGCGCCG